AACACAACTCTCTGGAAGTCACATCCAGTATTTCGAAAGTACATGATGGAAAAGGTTATAGGAGAAATCCCTTAGATTTTGCAGAAGCAAGCAACAGGTACAAGTTGGGGGTTGAGGGGCAGTGTTAAGGCTCATGAGAGTCTTAAGACACAACTATTGGATAAGGGAAATGCCACGAAATTAGGGAAGAAGGTGTAATTTACAGTGGGGGAAATCCCAGGGCTATCACATTTATAACCTACTTGCACAAAGTCTACATCTTGTCATTCACCTCCCAACTCCTCCCCCCAAATAGGAAAAAGAGACATACTTAAGAAACAGCTCAGTAGATTTCCAAAACTGATTTCTGCATCTGGAAGACTTCTGAGTTTTTCAATGGCCAAGTCAAAAACCTCACTCCCACATTAATAGAAGCTGATTGCTACTGATGTAGACTGCAGGAAAACCTTAGAAGCCTCTCTTTAGGGATAAAGCAGGATATATATTTACAGATGACATGCATGTGCTGCCATAAGCAAGTTATACAATTAGAAATGAGGCTAGATTTACAGTTTTGAGCTCCCCTTTGCTTGGATAATGATAAAGTGTGCATGGGTGACATTCGACTCTGAGAAAGCAAAAATACATGCAGAGAGAGGACTTCAACTTGCTGTAAGAGAAGATCTTATTCCTCCCTGACTTTGTTCTCTCTAAGCAGATGGTCATGATCTGAACTTCCATTATGGCTGTTCAAAAATGCATCAAAGGTTCAATGGATAAAAGAATGTTATTTTCCAAAACCACTGGGATACTTCCTGTCAGTTCACATAATTGAGTATTACAGTATTTAAATTACAAATTGAAGATTATTTTTACAGGTGTCATTTTAAATATAATATGAAATTTCTTGACATTACCTCAGCCATGCTACACAACCCAGCTGCACTTGGACTTGCATGTGTGATGCACATGGCTGAAATTTTGTCATATTACATCATGGGCTACAAAAACACACAGTATAAATAGACGATGTAATATTTGAGAGAGCAAAAACACATAGTGCTGGCCTCGCTTTATGGAACTCCATATCTAATACGGACGTGGAAATGTAAACTGTTACTAGAGTTCAGATCAAAAACCTTTAGGAAGGAAGCGCAGAGGAGAGCAGATAGACGGTCCTAGGTTGCCCTCCAGTGGGCTCCCACCCAACCTGCCTCCCACTGAACCCTGGCTGAGGAGGAAAACCACCCCGCAGGATTTCACCAAGCCGAGCAAACGGGACAGCTGTAGCCCATGAAGAAGACACACCCTATTCACACTGGCAGATCTGCAGACCGACGAGAAAAACGTTAACTTGATTAAGAAAGAGATCTTTAAGAATGCTTTTGGCTTTCTATCCACAAATTGACGTTAGCGGCTGCAAAGAATTTGCCTTAAAGTGTTCTAATTTAATGTGGCTTTCTAAAATGCTATTATCTCCACTCTGTAATTTGTTATTTCATGTTTATGGTTTCCAGCAAATGCCATGTCTGGAAAGGAAAAATCCACCTTTTCTTGTTCTCTGTTGTGACTTGCAATTTGCTTTCATTCTGCATGAAAAACTCTCCCCATCAAAGAATTCTAAGCGAAACAAGAAAAATAAAGAAAACAAACTGTCAGCAATGTTGTTAACACAAAAAAAAATGTCAGCAATACTCACCAGGTAAATTAAAACTCCTCTACCCTTTTTCTACTCTCCTCCTAGAGAGGACTATGAAGCTTTTAGTAAATTCCAACCTTTTTAAGCAGTTCCATATCCAATATTTGGTGACCACAAGCTAGGCTGAGTGGCTGGGCAATAACTTACAGAAATTGCCAAACTCAGAAGCAAGCAGATGTCATTTCATCTGCAGGCCTGCCTGTCCACACAGAGTAAGACTCTGATAATTGTAAGATTAACTAAACAATTTTTGTTTTGTTTATGGCTGGGCTACTCCTCAAAAAAAGAGCATAATTTCAGTGATTCAAGGAACAGATTTGTAATGGAAAAGGCACTAACATATTGTGAATTAACTTCCAGGTGTTAGAATTCCAATGCATATACGGTTACTAAAATGAAGGACTAAAGCAAAATGACCACCTTTGTCTCTTAAGAAAGAGCATTGCATGTTAGTGATTTCAGTGCAAATATCCTTATTCCTTTCACTACCTATGTCTTTTTCATTTTTTTCTTTTTACAAAGAGGCATAAAATGAAAAATTGAAAAAGTTCTAATTTCTCTTATACTTATTTTTTTTTTGGGAGGGGGGTAATACAAGCACTTAAGTAAAATGAAAAAAAAAATAATCTTGTAATGGTCCCATTCTATACTAACAGATATTTTCAAGGAAAGCTGCATGGTTTAGTGCTAGGAAGTTTGGGTTGTCTCCATGAACAAAGTTTACTCTTTAATTGAAGACAGAAATAAAAACTATGCAAAAATAAGAGTTTGAATCAGTTTCTTGTTGTGAAAGGAAGGTAACTAGAGGCCTGGAAAATGAGCATACTGAGATGGGTCTGATAGTAGGAAAGCCCAGCTGGCGATATGTGGGGGTGACAACCGAGGCTACAGTCTAAAACAGGGGTTGGAACTAGATGATCTTAAGGTCCTTTCCAACCCTAACGATTCTATGATTCTATGAAAACAGAAGAGGGAGCTCTCATCCAGCCTGTCAAGGTGGGAAGGTACTTTCAGGTACTACACTGCCGGTTGAAAAAATAAGCCAGGAACCCCTTAAACAGGTGAAACGTTTATATCATACAACTGAAGCACTGATTTTCTAGGACTGAAGATTCATTATGGGCAAGTAACCACTGATGTGATAATTTAGACTGCATGTTTTAACCCAAAACCAAACAAAATTGAAGTGTTTTTTGGGTTGTTTGGTTTTTTTAATTGTTTGTTTCAAGGGTTCCTAACACTGAATCACTGGAGCTGAGTTTGAGCTCAGTGATGTTTGGCTTGTTCACATCTGAAGTTCAAAGTGAAAAATATCAAGGAATGGGAGTTCATATGGATGAAACCCAAAGCAAATGTTTGCAGGAACCTCTGAGAAATGGAAGTGCTGTGTTCACATCGTTCTAATTATAACACTGCGTTTGTAGGATTCGTATGAGTTACGGCCCATGGAAGAAAAAAATAAAGGAAAGCTGACTTAAAGGGAAGGCAAAATACCATATGGATTTTGGATTGAAATCTTCTAATGTGAAGGAAATCTCCTGCAGAAAAGTGGGAACTACTTAACAAAACAGCTGGAGAGACCACAAGTGAAAGTCATCCTGGTTATAATCTAAACACAGAAAAGGGCAACAAAGGCCATTTCAGTTAAGCAAGGATATAAAGTCTTATACTCCGTGTGCAAAAAAAGCCTAATAAGGGGTCCTTAAAATATAAATAGCACTGGAAATTACATAAAAAGTAGACAAAAGCTAGTTAAAATGAGTAAAAGATGAAGGAGTTCTAAAGAAAGATAAACTGCAAAGGATACTTCTGTTAATCATAAAAGCTTCTTGCACAGTCCCATGGCAAAGACAAGGGAAGGAAGAAAACCACACTATTTAAAATTATAATGGAAGAGATGGTGCATTAGACCCACTTTTCATGCTGAAATGATGTTTCTCTTGATTTAAAGAATAATACATCTTTCAATATTTTCCACCATGAGAACATTTGTTTTCTGCTCACAGTATGAGGGATTTTTCTCATCGCACTGTATCCGAGTAGAAAAGAGATAAGCTATCCAGTTATTCAGACACCATGGACAGTCAATAAAGGTAGGCATTAAAGCTAAGCAAGGTGTGGCACCTCTCTTGAGGTGCCTCTCTCCCACCTTAAGCTATGGAAAGCTATAAGTTGCCTAACATTAGGTGTGAGGACATGACCCTGTATCTTCACAGATATGGTTTTAATCCAGTTACAGATTTTCAAGGAAACAACCTAATGACTTGAAATATATGAACCTTACTTGTTTACAGAAGCCAGGGGTATCACAGCCTCAGAGTAGCAAATTGCAGTTGAAAAAGTAATGGGAAATTTGTACCCAGATGAAAAAAAAAGAAAAAAGAAAAGAAAAAAAAAATCTGCCTATAAATGGCATTCTTCCAATCGCAAGCTGATGAATTGCATCTGTGAGTCATTTCTCATGGAATGGTAAACTTACAAGGGGTAAATGGCTTGTTAGGCTGCAGACACGTTCAAAGAACATAGCTGGAAAAAGGCTCCTAGATAGTGCCTTTGCAGATGCAGTGGTTAGTTTTAGAGCCCTCCCTTATTATTTTTAACTGTTCAGTGTTATGCCTTTCCACATGAATTGCATGGATTTCAAAGAGTAACAACAACTTTGCACAGCAAAGACCAACCTGCAGGTCTATCTTCTTATATTTCAGAAGTATTACATGAAGTGTAACCTACGTGATTTGCAAGAAGGACCTTGCAATGATCTGCTCTGAGACCACCAGTAGGGAGAAAAGCATTTGACAACACAGACTAGCGCTTAACCCAATATCTGATGAAAGCCAATTTTTTATTAATTTTCTCCATTTCATTTTAGTGTCATAATTAAATGACTTTTGAAAGCAAAATTGCAAAGGGGTTTGACAGCTGCTCCAAAACAGAGTCTGCTCTGTGGGAAAGCACTTCAGTATTTCAGTGAGCAAAAAGCTTTTATTTTGAAGTTGCAACACGAGATTGTTGACCTGTGGAATCCGGGCTTTCAGTGACACTGTAGGGGTAGTTTACACTTGAGCAGGGATGCCCAGAGTCATTGTGACAGAGTTGTCTGCACAGTGTGGGAGGTGGCACTTTCCTATCTTCTGTAGAAAGTGTAATACGGATGATGCTCAAAATGTTCTCCAACTTAACTGTGGGCCATTTTTGTGAGGTCTTATTGTTAAGAACTCACAAATCTCGAACAACTGTAGCAATTACTTTTCACCAGTGTAGTGAGCTCTGTATCTGGCCTAGTAGCCCAGAAGCAAAAAGTTCATACACTTACATACTTTCTTCACAGGCAACCATGGTCTAGCTGAGCAGCTCCCTGAAGGCTGAGCAGTGTTCCTGGATGGTGCTTCTTAAAAGGCAGACCTTTTGAAATAGTGACATGACTGAAATAGATTGACAAAAAATTCTGTTATTTTACATGCTAGGTGTCCATATCAAATAATAATAAATGTTGTTTACTAAGTACTTGCTATCAAAATCCTCAAGGCTCTTGAAAGCACATCTCAAACAAAAGATAACAAAGCTGGTTTCACAAAAGCCCTCTTTCATGAACTACCAAGATAAAACCATTAACTTCCCCTGAAACAAGAGTTTTGAGAGCTCCTACTGTGTAAGAGCTATCCACAAGTCCTCAGTGTCTGTGGGAAACTTTCCACTGACATGCAGGTTTCTTTCATAGGGCACAGAGAAGGAAAATGTCCCAGATATACAGGCAACATTTGTGCTAAAACAAGCAAAATTTGCAGCCCTAAAACCAGGGAAGTAGAAAGGCCAAATTCAGTGCACACCTAAGTCACAACTCAGCTGATGATTTTCTCAAAAGTTGGGTATCACTGGAACGAATAAGTCAAATGGGATACATCAGTGGTGTTTTAAGTCCTGTGGCTACACACTGAAATGCACAGTTTGCAGTAGAAATTCAAGTAAATGATCTTTCAGGTGCAATGTGATTTTTGTTTTTCTTTTTTTTTTTTTTTTTACAGAAGACTTTTTTTATGTGTTTTGAATAGCCATTAATCAGAGCAGTGGAGAGGAAAAAAATCCACCAGAAATGGAATATCACTTAGCAAGCCTGCAATTAGCGGACTAAAGAGTTTGTTATTTTTGTACTTTTTCCCACTGTATGACCTAATGGAACACTAGCAAGCATTAACACACCACAGTTCTAGTAAGAGCATTGTGGTCTTTCACAACGTGCAGAACCATACTGGAAGTCTCTGTGAGTTAGCTGTTGTAGAGCTAAAATGCACTTGATGTCTTGTCCATCTCAATTTACCATGAACTGTATGTCAAGAGCTCAGTATTGATGAAGACAACTTATGAGCAGTCATGTGCTTGGAGATGTTCCAGTGTTAAACATAACAGGAATCTTAAGGAATTTAGTTCTATCTTGATATTTGAAGAACAATGCAAATAATATCAAGTTTCAGAACCACAAGAAATGCTTAACACAGAGCCAAACCACAGAAATGTACAGGTGTCTTTTCTTGATCATTTCCAAAACCACCCTGTCCCTCTACAACTCTAGTTTTTGCTCGTTTAAGAAAAAAGGGGGAAGGCAAATGCTTTTTGATTAGCAAAACTAAGAAGTTGCGCAACAATGCAAAGGGAAGGTCAGAGTTCAAATTCAACATGCTGGATTGCTTGTCTCCCTCAATCCTATTCACTAAATCAGCAGCACTGAATTGCTATGATGACAGGAAGAATTTGGAAAAGGAGGAAGGTTGTGCTAGTACTGAAGACAAAAAATAAATCTATAAAGTGTTTGTCAATCTCTTTCCAAAGTCAGAACAATCCGTCCATTAGAAGAATTAATAACTTCTACCTTCACTGAAAAAGATGAATTTGTGTTTATTATACTGTCATAGAATCATAGAATCGTTAGGGTTGGAAAGGACCTTAAGATCATCTAGTTCCAACCCCCCCTGCCGTGGGCAGGGACACCTTAACGCTAAATCATATCACCCAAGGCCTCGTCTAACCTGGTCTTGAACACACATTGTTGGGTTTTGTTTGATTCTAACCCAAAATCTGTGTTAGGTAGGAAATTTTTCCCAGCAATAAAATGCTTCTCACATAAAATATCCATTACCACAAGCAAATATTCTCCCTGGATGTTTTCGATTCAAATGATGGCATTATGAGAGCTTGCTACAAAACCAGCTACACATTGACTCTTGCCCAGATTACCAAAAGCATTTATGCGCTTGGCTTGCATTGAAAATTAGAAGCTTAGATCCCTTTGAGACCCCGAATTCGTAATAAAGTCAGATCTGAAAAATAATTCTTACTGAGAAATCAGATCATGTCATGAAATTAAGGAACACTCCTATTGAAAAAATAAATACTATCTCACTGAGAAATTAGCAAAGCAACTTAAACACAAAACAACTGGAATTGTGCAGTTCTTTAAATAATTTTGATTTTTAAAGGCCTTAGCAATCATCAAGCCATAAAACTCAGTAATAGCCTTACCTTGTCTGAGTCTTTGAAAATATTAGGTATAGTTTACAAAATGTTTTAGACTTATAGCCAAGCTATGTGCTTAGGGCACTTAACATCAGTACCCAGTGGAGCTAAAAAGCAGACTTGTGACTCAGAAGGAGTTAGGTTAGGAACTGAGGTTTAACAGACATAATGAGGCTTCTCTGGAGCTTCAGAATGGCTCATCCATGCAATGCTGAAATTTATCTCCATCCGTGGATCTTAGGTAACGCTACAGCATGTTCTGGTGCACCTGGTCCTACATGGGGAAGAGCTAGAGACAGGGCCATGGCTGAGTGGCCCTTCATTCAAAACTGCAAAATAGGTGTCTCCTTCCCCAGAGAGTTCCTGGTATAGGAGAAGCAGTGGTGAAAGTGGTCTCATACTTCTCTCAAAAGCAGCTCAACAGACAGCAAAATCTGCAAGATCTTTGTTAGTGGGGTAGGGGCTAGTGCAGCCATTGGTATTACAGGACTATTATTATAGATACATCCTGGAGAGGAAGAGTCACTCGACTGAATGTGGGCATCCCGTGACAGGGAACAGTGTCAGAGAAAAGTCTCAATCATAACAGTTGTACAAGATGTCTAAAACAGTGTCTGAGATTTAGGTATATAATGTCCACATATTTACCCAGCTTGGGTGGCCTGAAGGCTGTTTTAAGTGACTTGGCACCTTTGGGAGGAGCACCTAACTCCCTTTGATTTCAATAGTGATAACTGCTTGGGTATTTCTCCGTCAAGTCTTGAAGATATTCAGTGCCCAGAAAACAGATCCAGCACATAACCAGACACCTCGGCTGAGATATACCCCATTCATTTTCAACCTTTTAAAGTTACGTGCCTAGTCTACACTAGCCACCAAGCTTTTCTGAAGTCTGTGTGAAGAGATAAATCTGTTCAGGGAGGAATTCACTCCATTTATCCTAGACATTTCTCTTAATTTATTTTCTAAGAAATGGTTTCTGTACTGCTTTGCTGGAGTGTGTCCCTATCTGTTAGTACTGTTTCAGCTCCTGCAGATCTCAAAGTATTGACTCCTGAAAATATATTCAGCTGCTGAATGCAGAGGTGCTTTTGAATCATGAGTACAAGATTTTTTCACTCTGTCGGAATCTTGCTTGTAAATTATCAGCAGAATGAGCGTATTTTTAACTGTTTTTCTCTTAGTTCAAGAGTTAAATACATTTTTCTGTGATCTGTAAGTATCTATCAAGCTTCTATTGTCAGTGAAAAACACCTTGACAGAAAAACTAAAGCTTCTATTTTTTAACAATTAGCTGTCTTTTCTTTTTTTCCACAGTAGACAAGAGTAGATCTAGAAAGTCACAGGTGCTCTTAACCTCAGGGTTACTAAAAAGCAAATGAATGCATATAAAAAAAAAACTGTCTAGGTAAAGAAAACTGACCTGAAATTGTGGCACAAGGAATAATCCAAGCAGCATTTTCAGTATAAACCCTGACAACCCTATGCTGTCTTACAGTACAATGCTTTATATATGCAGCTGATATGCATTCAATGTGTCATATTTTTGGATGTGATAGCAAGAAATTCCAAGAATTGTTCAGCCAAAGGTAACTGTAAGTATAATTTGATGTGTGGGTATAAAAACTGAAACCCCTTATTTTGTGAAGCACTTCACAGAAGGTTTGAAAAATCCACCTTCCATTAGATCCAAATTCCAGCCTCAGATACACACTTGGGGCTCTCATTAAAGGCATTGGGAGCCAGAAGTACTTTGTCAAGGACAGAGCAACTCTACTGAAACCTTGATTAGCAAAATGGAACAGAGACATGAAAGTAGTTTAGATTAACAGGGTTTGGATAAGTAGGAGAGGTTTTAGTGTTTTGTTATGACTTTTAATAGATGTGACCTTAGGCCACAAATCAGCAAGGCTCCTGGGCACATGCATAACATTAACCATATGAGTAGTTGAGTGAAGTCAGCAGAAGTATTTGCGCTCTTGAACACAGGCATATGTGTAAGTACGAGGTAAAACTTGTAACCAGTTTTTAAGACTGGTGATAACTAAGGACTGTGTATTGCTCCGATTTATTTTTTACTCTAAACACAAGCATAAAGCGAGTTCCCCAAGACAGATACTGCCTATTAACAAACAAGTGACCCATTCATGCCAGCCAAGTAAATGAACCTAAACCAATTAACTTAGGGTACAGGTGAGGAAAATCTTAGACAGCAACAATTTAAAATCCCTGCCAATAGAACTTAGAAAAGAAACACTGATAGGTCTGGTGGGGTGTGCTGAAATGCCCAGAATAAATTCATTCTTCTCCTGAACCTCCAGACCAGAGTATTGAATTCACACTGATCTTTATCCCAGTTTCCAAGGAGAATGATGCTATTGGAGGACCTGTCTGTATTCCAACCTCACTCCAATAACTTTTGCACCAAGCTGTTGAAGTCCAGAAAGTTTCACGATGCCAAATGCTGTGGTAATGGGACAATAAAGTACCTAGGATAACTTTGCAATTTATTTTAAGTTTACACACTCTTTTATCCTGAAAACCGCAAACTTGTCTTCCATTAATAACTACCACGTTAAAAAACATTAAAGACCAGTTGTATGTGCTAGAAAAGGCACACGATAACCCTATGAAATCTAAAATAGGGATAACACAGAGCTGTAACAAACTGAACCTTACCCCAGCACTAGCTGGTAGATTTTCCTTACAATTAATAATAATAATAATGATGAAAATAGGAGTAGTAGTTTCATATTTGAAGACCTAGATTATTTGCACCGACTCTTTAACATGTTTCATGCTTCACAGCAGTGTGCATAGGAGTTCACTCCTCCCCACACCATGCTGTAGGATGCAGCCACTTTCCTTCCCTGTACATAGCACTTGGAAGATCGTACTTGGAAGATGAGCCAGG